GATAGATAGATAGACGGATGGACTGATAGATAGATAGATAGATAGACGGATGGACTGACAGATAGATAGATGGATGGACTGACAGACAGATAGATGGATAGATAGATAGATAGACGGATGGACTGACTGATAGATAGATAGACGGATGGACTGATAGATAGATAGATAGATAGACGGATGGACTGACAGATAGATAGATAGACTGACAGATAGATAGATAGACCGACAGATAGATAGATAGACAGACCGACCGACAGATAGATAGACAGACCGACCGACAGATAGATAGACCGACAGACAGATAGATAGACCGACAGACAGATAGATAGACAGACCGACAGATAGATAGATAGACCGACAGATAGATAGATAGACCGACAGATAGATAGATAGACCGACAGATAGATAGACCGACAGATAGATAGACCGACAGATAGATAGATAGACAGATAGACCGACAGATAGATAGATAGACCGACAGATAGATAGATAGATAGACCGACAGATAGATAGATAGATAGACCGACAGATAGATAGATAGATAGACAGACCGACCGACAGATAGATAGATAGACCGACAGACAGACAGATAGATACAGACCGACAGATAGACAGACAGACCGACAGATAGACACACACACACATATATCTCTCTGTCTAAGACAGACAGATATCTAGATAAGATAGACAGACAGATAAGACCGACAGATAGATAGACAGACATATAGAGTCTGTAAAAACAAGACAGCAGCGTTTTATCGCACTGTGAGACGCGACACAACTACCACAGTGGTCCATGTGAGAGGTGTTTGTGTAAAAACCACGAAGGACCGCAAGAACGCGCCATACGTGAACACCTATGCTGTGTATTGAACTGTAAGTTGTCATTTTTATCGTATTTAATACCACATTCAACTACACTTCACTTAAAGTGTCTGTCAGTAACGCAAACTGCTCCCCTCAGTAATAATGACAGTTGCTTACCTGAGAGAAACGGTCCAAGCGCTCGTCTCGTGTCGAAACATGGGTATTTACACCCAATACTCAGCGCTGACAACCTCTGAACGGGTTCAAAGCGCTCCCCTCGACACTTTCTCCTCCGTGAGTAAAGTGGCAGCGAGGTTTAGGTGTTTAGGTGTGTCGGCGCGCAGGTGTGAAAGCAGCTCTATAGGCTTTGCTTTAATTCTCGTCATTCACCCTTTTGGGGCCGATAAGCCTGCGGCACATCTTCAGGAAAAACCGGTACAGGTGGTCACATGAGGGTGTGTCGAGTCAGTGCTAATTAAACTCAAAACAGGTTGGATATGCGTGTAAAAACGTATTCTGTTGAATAAAAAAATACCGATCAGGCTACTTGAAAATAAGTCCAACCTGTTGGTTATTTAGCTTTTTGCAGAGAGTCGAACTCGAGTCCCACTTAAAGCTGAAGTGTGTGACGTTAAAATAGTTTTTTTTTCATCTTAATATGCAGAGAGGGAACTATAAATGTGATATTTTTAGGTTGATTTTACCAAAAAAAAGTGTCAAATCTGTGACGCTGTTTATCTGCAATTTTTATTGTAGGGACTACAAGTAGCCTTGCAAGTAAAATACTGTAGTGCAAGTACTGCTCCTTCATATAAACGCCACATTTGAATAGTGTTATGCGTGTGATTTAAAAAGAGAGAAAGCTATACATACATTCCCATAGTTATGTGTCGTTGGGCCTCAGGCTGTGTTTCCAGGAATGACATCTGACAGGTTTGAGAGCGGCGGCCCTAGGGCACATGCTGGGACTTATGACATGAAAGCGTAACTGATGTTTGAGGGTTTAGCCGGCTGCACTTTATAATATCTTTAGTAAGAAATATTATTGTGATATATGGTGAATTTATGTAAATTGGGACACTTTTTGCCATTAAGGTGACTGGGGAAAAATGGCTGAATTATCCTGAATTAACCCTGTGCTTGATAGGAAGGTCTAATGATACAACTGACGTAAATTCAAATATTTAAAAATTATTATATAAATGGTATTAATGTAATATATTAAGTAGCTATATTTATACTTTATATATTTTTAAATTCTAGTTGAATTTATTTCATTAGCATTTATGCAACTTAATAGTTTAAGTAAAGTAAATAAAATAAATATGTTATTCTAAACTATATAAGTCAATACACACTCTAAAAAATGCTGGGTTAAATACAACCCAGTGCTGGGTAAAATAGGGACAAACCCAGCAATTGGGTTGTTTTGACCCAGCGGTTGTGTTAAATGTTTAACCCAACCTTCTGGGTAGTAACCCAACCGCTGGGTCAAAACAACCCAATTGCTGGGTTTGTCCCTATTTTACCCAGCACTGGGTTGTATTTAACCCAGCATTTTTTAGAGTGTATATTGACATTTTTGTTACTTATATTTTTGGACTGGATTTTAGTGGATTCTTAAAGCTTGAGCATTTGAAGTGGCATCGGATAAAATATAACTAATAATAAAATATCTGTTGGTGTGCACACCACTATAGTTTTTGATCTATGTATTAACAGGTCTTTAGTTGTATAATATGAGTCATTTTCATCCACTCTCAAATATGCAGATTTTTATTATGCTTCCCAAGAGGGATAGTCCACCCAAAAATGATTTACTCACCCTTGTGTCGTTCCAATCCTGTATGGGTCTGTATGAGCACAGAAAAAGATATTTAAAAAAGAATGTTGGTAACCAAACAATTGATGGTAGCCATTGACCTCATACTGTAAATAAATAAATCAAGAAATGCTATGGAAGTCAACATCTACCATCAACTGTTTGGTTTCCAACATTCTTTAAAGCATCTTCTTTTATACTTAACGGAAGAAAGAAATGCATACAGGTTTGGAACAAGTGGAAGGTGAGTTAAAGATGACAGAATTGTCATTTTTGGATGGAACTACGGTAATTCAAGAGAGAACTGATAATGTGCTTTCAGACAGTATAGGGAAGCACCACAAGATAGCACTAGATTCTGTCATTATGCACTATTAATATGTTTTTTAAAAGACCTTTTCCAACTTTACAGGAATGGGATTTCAAATCATGTAGCTTATTGAGGAGATGTGTGCTACTTTTCAACAGAATGAAATCACAATGTATTACAGCAATACATGACTCCTGCGATGAAACTAAAAAGTGTGTTTGTACAGTCATCATCTCGAGGAATACATTTTTGTGCAAGAGCCAAAGCATACAGTACATCTGCACTTGTATTTATGGCATGTTTTCTTTCTTTCTGTTTCTTAAAACTCATTTTCCTCCTAATGTCACACTAACAAGTTTAGCATGAGTTTGAACAAAAAGCAGTTGTTCACTTATTTTTAAGGTGTTTTACAAAAATACACGTTTAACAACGGATTTAAAAACAGATGAAGGCATTTTAAAAACTTTCCCAGTTTATTGTAATTGAACCTTCACATAAAAAGAAAGTTGAAATCGGATTCTAAAAAAAACAACAACAACCCTGCAACGTAACATCTTTGCAGTTAAAGAAAGAAATATGCATATACACTGCCTGGCGGTCAAAAGTTTGGTATGATTTTTAATTTTTTATTGGAAAGAAGTCTCTTATGCTCACCAAAGCTGCATTTCTTTAATCAGTACCAGAGTAAAAACAGTAATAATGCAAAATATCTATTTGCTGTTTTCTATTTGAATATGGTTAAAATGTAATTTATTCCTGTGATGCAAATCTGAATTTTCAGCATCAATACTCCAGTCTTCATTGTCACATGATCGTTCAGAAATCAGAAAATACTACCATTCAATGGTTTGGGGTATGTTTAAAACAAAAACAAACAAAAAAAACATGAAAAGGCCTCTAAATAAAATAAAGCATTTTTTTCAACAGTAGTATTAGTCACTGTTACTATTACTGGATGACAAGAACTTCCCGACATATTAGTGTCCATTCTCCCACTAACCCACCCATTTGTTTCCTGTTACAATCGCAAGCCAAAAAGAGGAGGGGAACATGATTATGAATGGAAATGATACATATATCTTTTGGATTTGTCTGAGTAAATAGGTGTGAAACAAACTGTAAGATTGATCAAGATCACGATGCATTAATCATCAGAAGGAATGTGCTGAGTTATGTAGTTTGGATGTCAACACATCCTTTCACATGAAACGCTATTCATCTCTTTCCTCCTTCATGTTAGTACATCAAAATAAAAATTACAGTTACAGTTTATTTATCCGGATTGACAGATTTGAAGGGTATTGAACCAACAACCTTCTGTTTTCCAACCCAAAACTTCGACCGCTGCTTCACACCTATAACTAGAGAAGTTCAAGCCAGATTTTTCCAAACAAAAAGCGTCTACTTTCAAGGAAATCTGACCCAATGTCCTGTCCACGAATGACATGACGGTTAATTCACACCTACTCGCATGATAATAAATAGCAGCCCGGATTTCTCAGCTTGCATTACAGTACAGTGGACACATACAGTATTACTGACTGAAAACGGCATTCGTCTTCTAATCCATCCATGGCTCTTCAGCTCATCGGTTATATTCTGTCCATTACTGGATTATGTGGCCTCATTATAGGCACATTTACGAATGAATGGGAAATCCTTGGACATGACAACGACAAGACTGTGATTCTGGACAAATACAAAGGACTGTGGATGGAGTGCTCAGTGGACGGTTCGTCTCACGTGCGCTGCACAAGTTACAATTCTCTTCTTCACCAGACCTGTGAGTATCTGTCCTGTGGATTATGGATCCTTCTGTCATTGACTTCTGTTGTAATCGCTGCTGTGTGTTGTTGCAGTTGAAATCCGGGTGGGCCGAGCAATCATGATCATCAGCATCGTCTTTTCAAGCCTCGCCGCGCTGGTGGCCATTTCTGGCCTCCGATGTACAAGATGTTTAGAAGAGAACGAGAAGTCGAAGGATAGAGCTGCCTTCTTAGGAGGAATCCTTTCTGCGTGCGGTGGTGAGTTGCAAATTATTGAACAAATCGCAAATAAACTGGAGCTAGAAACCGGAGTGAAAACTTTATTTTTTATTTTTTATCCTATCAAAAATTCCTTTGAGTTGAAACTCGTAGGCTATATTGTATTTCTAGGTTGTTACTTGAAAGTTAAAAGCAACTAATTTAATACTGCTTTGAAAATACATGCATTGATGATTGGAAAGTTGAAATTAACAGCATTTATTTGCTGAATACAAATACCATTTTTTTTTAAAGAAATTATTTTTATTCAGCAAGGATGCATTAAATTGATCAAAAGTGACGGCGAAGACATTTATAACGTTGCAAAAGATTTTTATTTCAACTAAAAAAAATCATTTTTCAAAGACGAATAAAAATACTACTCATTTTACATATACACTACTGTTCAAATGTTTTAGCATTTTAAAGAAATTAATACTTTTGTTCAGCAAGGATGCATTAATTTAACCACAAGTAACAGTGAATGCATTATATTGTTACAAAAGATTTTTATTTCAAAGTAATTATTGTATTAGTCAAAGCTGGATATACTATATTTTACATATGCACTGCCTTTTAAAAACTGCATTAAACTAGTCAAAAATTAAAGCAAAGACATTTTACAAAAGATCTTTATTTCAAATAAATAAACTCTTTTGAACTTTCTTTTTCTCAAAGACAAATAAAAATACTAGATATTTTACATATACACTACCATTCAAAAGTTTTTTTTTTTTCAATTTTAAAGAAATTAATACTTTTAAGCAAGGATGCGTTAAATTGACCTAAACTAACAGTGAAGACATTATAATGTTACAACAGTTTTTTTATTTCATATAAATTCTTCTGAACTTTCTATTCATCAAAAAAATCTTCAAAAAAGAGTAAAATGATTTCTATAAAATTAGTAAGCAGCACAACTGATTTCAAAATGGATGATAATAATACGAGTTTATGGGGAAGTCGTGGCCTAATGGTTAGAGAGTCGGACTCATAACCCAAAGGTTGTGGGTTCGAGTCTCGTACCGGCAGGGATTGTAGGTGGGGGGAGTGAATGTACAGCGCTCTCTTCCACCTTCAATACCACGACTGAGGTGCCCTTGAGCAAGGCACCGATCCCCCAACTGCTCCCCGGGCGCCGCAGCATAAATGGCTGCCCACAGCTCCGTGTGTGTGTTCACGGTGTGTGTGTGTGTGTTCACTACTGTGTGTTATTTTTATTATGGGTAAATGCAGAGCACTAATTCCGAGTATGGGTCACCATACCACATGTCACGTCACTTCACACTAATAATAATAATAATAAATGTTACTTGAGCAGCAAATCCGCAAATTAGACTGATTTCTGAACTGGAGTAATTATGCCAAAATTTCAACTTATATTTAAAACAATACAATTGCCTCTAATCTCCTCTACATTTAGAATTAAGTGAATTATGCGCATTCTTATTTCCTAACCAGGTATTCTTGCTTTGGGCATAACCAGCTGGTTTATATATGGAATTGCTGTAGATTTCTTTCAGAATGACACAGTGACGGAGAGGTAGGTGTTGTTTCGTATTGTTTAATATTCATTAGATTCAATGATTCAGTGGCCTTTTGGAATCTAAATACTGACTATCTGAGGGTATTTGCAGGTATGTGGTCGGCAGATCTCTGATTGGTGCATTTGTTGCATCTGTGCTTTGTTTATTCGGAGGCATTCTCTTATGCGCCTGCAGCGTGATGCATCTACAATTCAACAAAATTCTCAGCAAGCATCCGGTCTCCAGGAATCCTGAAAAAGACTATGTTTAATGATCCTGAGACCATCTGAATACCTATACTTCACCTGAATGTCAGACACCGGTTAAATGTTGTGTATGTGCATGAAAGAAAATGACAGTAATAAACAATTTTATAGTAATTAAAATTATTATTATCTCTAATTATATTTTATTGTTCTTTTTACTAACCGATATCCATATGATTTAACCACTTTTAATGTATGTTTAGACGTTTGTGAGTCAGTTTAGCTATTAGAAAACTAGAAGGCTGGGATTGCTTCAGAGTTGACCACAGAAGAAGATTATGTCATATCCCAGTCATAGCTTTACAGTCAATGTGGGGATATTTGTACTATTTTAAGGTATTTTTAAAGATGAAGAATATTCTAAGCTGTGATGTAGTGTAGAATATATGTCAATGCAAGATTAAGACAGCTTCAGCATTTCATACTTGTCTGTTTTAGGATGAAATCATTTCAGTATTTTATCTATTTATTATTATAAATGCTTACTATCACCACATGCACTTGGTTGTTAACCCTGCTTGCAACCGCTGAATGAGATTTTCCTCCCTCTATTTCCTTAGTGTTTTTAGCCCTCTTACCCTACAACATCAAAATACTTTAATACCAGGTCACTTCACATTCGTTTGAAATAGATTTAACATCTATGAATGTGTCATCTTGTATAGTCAGGCAAAAATAATGTCACCACATTTTGTAACCCTAATATTTATACACGAATTAGGCCTATATTACGCTGCTCTCTGAAACTGATTCTAACTGTGGAAGTAAACAAATACTTAACTGTATTTTTGATCCTTCTTTACAGCAATATACCAGTACGTTAGTAGTAGTAGTCTACTTTCATGTCTTACATCACTCCGTGATGCTGAGCAAGTTTAAATGTCTTACTGGCGCCATCTTGCGACTCGAATGGTTACTGCTTATAATCATAATATCTTAAAGGGGTCATATGATGCTATTTTAAATATCATTATTTTGTGTATTTGGTGTAACAGAATATGTTGACATGCTTTAATGTTCAAAAAACACATTCTTTTTCAAATACTGTACATTATTGTAGAACGCATTTGTACAGTCAATAGCAAATACTTAAACTAATAACAAAACATACTTACATTCGCTGATTCAGACGCGCCAGATTGTCATAGCAAAGTCGTAATTTACCCTTTTTTTTTTTTTTTTTTAGAAATAGCCTTTGTGCACAGCCAGCCTTGTACTCTTCTAGGTTCAAAAAACTGTCGTCCATAAAATGCGTTGCACAAATTCGAACATCTGGGTTGTGCTGTTCTGTTGTAAATAAATCTTAACCAATGATTCCTAATTGCATCTCCTTCCGGAAGGCCAAATAAAGTGCTTTTGCTTTCGCACTGAAACACAGCGTCTCTCTGACATGGCTGAATCAACACCAGTGGCGGCTCGTCGGGGGAGGCACAGCTTCCCCATAATTTTGAGGTGAAAATGGGAGGAGGACGATTTAATGTTAATAAAATTCACAATTCATTTCAGTTCATGTCTCAGAATGTGTATTTTTTGTTTGTAATTTCACAGTTGTAATACCATAACGTGAAAGCGCCGCTTTTCTATCGCGAATGTGCCGAATCTGCTGATGTAATTACAAACGGTGATGATAGAGAAGGGGAGGGGGAGGCCGGGGGAGAGCTGAGCTCTCGTGCCTCCGTTGGTAAAAAAAAAATTGCCAATCAGCATTGAGTATTCACTTTCAGCGCTGAGGAGTGTTGAGAAAAGAAACCTCGTAGAGGAGGCTAGCCTCCCTTCTGATATCAACCAATCATCAGAGAGACGTAAATTACGTGATATTAGTTTGAACGTCTGCCGCTGCGCTGATAATGTACCAAGTACTTATGATGAGTAGCGATATTGAATATTTGATCGCCAACAGATTTACCAAGCTGTCATTCAAACAGTATATATACAAATTTAGGGAAAACAGCCTAAGGTGGATATAGGCTACAGCAGTCGGCTTAATTAAATGGAGCAACAGCCGGCTCTCTTTTAACACAGACTTTTAAGAAGGGATGGATGTTTGCTTCAATTGATAGGCCAGGTAAGTGAAATTATATTATCTTGCTGTATATGTGTCGGTTTCTTTGTGTTTTCTGACTAAAAGCAACCAAAAAGCCATTGTAAAGTGGTTAAGCAAATAATAATAATAATAATAATAATCGGCGGGGATCACAGATCAATACAATTAGTGTGCCTCCTCTATTTTAAAACCCAGGAGCCGCCACTGATCAACACTACTGCTGTTCCTGAAACCACACCTTCTTTTTTTGCATGAACATTTGGGTGGCATTATGCTAATATTTCCACATAGTGATGTAGATATGTGGGGGCATGTTAGAACGAGCCGTTTTAGGTAGGTGTGGTTGACTCTTTATTTTTATAAAGAATATCTCTTTGGATTTAAAATTTTTGTCTTTGCAACTTTACAGATTTTCTTTATGCACCAAGAGCTTGTAACACACCAAAGGAAAGGAAAACATTGCATCATATGACCCCTTTAATATTCATTGTAATATACCTTGAGAATAATACTATTAGTCTGTTGAAGCAAGAAAACAAAACATGGTTAGAAAGAACGACGGAAAGTTGGAAACGTTTTTTTTTTGGAAAAGTTATTTTCTTTTCTTTTCACAAATTACAAATGGTGTGCAGGAAATGATCTTAATGAAAGTTACCCAATTAAAATAGCCTAACTACTCTGAAGTATGGCTTTGACAGCCCTACACAGTAAAATAAAAGGCCTCGGTCAGTAGGTTTGTAGGGTGTGACATCTTAACGCTTTATAACCTGTAAACGATCCACACTAAACATAGATAAAGGCCTCGCTGGAGGGAGCGCTTGAGATGAGAGGTCAAGCTTCCTCGGGTTGTTTTTGCGGCGGGATTTTGTAAAAGTGGAGGTGTTTCATTTGGCGGCAAGTCTGTCAAAAATTCTGAAACTGTTGTCTCTTATACAATGCTTAAAGGGGTCATATGATGCTATTTCAATTTTTCCTTTCTCTTTGGAGTGTTACAAGCTCTTGGTGCATAAAGAAGATCTGTAAAGTTGCAAAGACTAAAGTCTCAAATCCAAAGAGATATTCTTTATAAAAGTTAAGAGTCAGCCACGCCTACCTAAAACGGCTCGTTCTAACACGCCCCCACATGTCTACGTCACAATGTGGGAAGATTTGCATAACGCCGCCCAAATGTTCACAAGAAAGAAGGCATAACCTTAATTCTCGTTGTAGTATTGTTGTTGCTGCCGCCACCATGTCGTGAAGGCGCAGTGTGCTTCGTTGTGAAAGCGAAACTACTTTGTTTGGCCTTCCAAAAGAGGACGATATCCTCTTTGTCATGCCTGGAGCTGATCCGTGCTGGTCGCTAATGAAATACATCAACTTCGCACTGTGGATCGCCGGATCGGCTTTTCACCGAGTCCAGCCCGGGGTCGTCACATGTGGTTGCCGCAGACATCACAATATGGTAAGGGGCGTAACATTTCCGTCACACGCTTGAAGTATTCGGCCAATCACAATGCACTGGATAGTTGGCCAATCAGAGCACACCTCGCTTTTTCAGACCGATGAGCTTTGTAAAAATAGACACGTTTCAGAAAGGCGGTGCATAGAGGAGAAACAATAATGTACAGCATGTGGAAAATAATGTGTTTTTTTAACCTTAAACCGCATAAACACAGTTCATTACACCAAATAATGTTCTTTTTAGCAACATCATATGACCCCTTTAAAATAGATTGACGTTGTTGCAAAATATTAGCAAAACTAGCGGAAGCTTTAACACCTGACTGTATTATCCCTTATACTCATTTAAAAAATGTTTTTAGTCGAACAATAGCGTTTGATGTTGTATTGGTTGATATTCAGGAGCGCTGCATTATGATTTCTATCCTCTAGAGGGAGACGTTGAAGCGGCGACAGGAGGTCTTCGCTTTCGAGGGCTTTGTGAGAATCATCTCACTAGAAAGTCATGTCTGTGAATCAGTGTAGCCTATTGTCTGTAATAGAGACAAGACTGTTTAAGTACTTCTTTAAGTTAAAAATTTCAGAAGAACTAATATGTCGTTGTGCAAAAATTAAATAAAACGTCAGACAGCCGTCATGTTAAACAATTGTTAGCCTATTTCTTTCTTGTGTGGGCTGTAGGGGAGGAGTCAGCACAGAATGGATGGGAGGGACGGGGGTCATTGCTAAACATTTCCCTAGTAATCGGTCATTCATTATGAGTGACAACGAAACTGCCTCGAAGCTTAGAACGGTAGTTAAGCCGTCGCTTTCATTAGCCTGTTTCCTCTGTAACATCCACTAGACCCGCCGGGATTGTGTTTATTCATCACTCTCAGAGCGCGTTATTTTGCGCACTATTACGCAGCAGCTCCAGAAGATGGATGTGAACTCCAAAATCTACGGCTTTTTGACATGTATCCTCCAGGCACTTCTGCTGTCATCGGCCACCCTGGAACCGTTCGACCTGCTTCATGACAACGGAGTGGAGGCTTTTTATAAAGGAGACTATGGCAATGTGGTGCGGTACATGGAGAGCGCGCTGAAGAGTTTCTCCGAAGTGCGCCAGACCCGAATCAGATGCAGGCTGAAATGCAGTGACCAGCATCGCTTTGACAGCTTTCTGACTGATAAGATTTTTGAAGTGATCCTCTATAGAGGGCATTGTTTAAATCAATGCATTGAGGGAAAAATTGGAGCCCAATCCATGCATAAAATTAGCGAGGATGCCATTCAAGATTTCAATCGAAGAAATCCCTATAACTACCTGCAACTTGCCTACAGAAAAGTGAGTACAAGTTTTATAGACGTGGCAGGGCAAGGTTCCATACAGTGTACAGTGAGGTGCCCACATAGTATTTTGGGCATCATGTGAGCACTTCAACGTTTGAATTGAACATTTCTGAGCATCAATATATATCTGTTCGAACGTTCGAATTGAACATTGTGCGTTCGAATGAAACGCGTTGGATGTCAAATCGAACGTTTGAATCAAACGTTTTGTCATTTATGTTCAAATCAAACATTTTTAGTCAACGTTATGCATGTTCAGGTCATTCAAATCGATCATTGCGGCGTGTTCATTTATGTTTGGTCAAATGTTTATGCCGGTCAAAAGCGCCTTTGCTGGCCAGTTGTCTGTGTAGGCAGCAGCTCACAAGCTTTCGTTTTCTGTTAGTCGCCCTCGTAAATATATAAAAATTTTAATTTGTGGTACGAAATGCTCTTACGCAATTCTGAAAGCTACTGTAGCAGAGGAAAACTCTAGAAAGTTTGTGTGTGCAGGTCTCACCTTCAAACGATTCACATGCATTTTAGTCCTCCCCCAACCTAATGTTACAAGTGGCGCAGGGTTTAAAGTGTGCGATGCGTAACTGCAAAGAGAGGCCAAACACCCTTTTTGACTATTAAAGCCAAAAAATAAAATAAAATAAAAATCATAGTTCCTGCAAAATACCATCGTAAGTAAAGTTGTAAATCTGTGGTATTGTTATATTAGCCACTTTCACAAACCAATAAATCAAGAATATTATACAAAACAACCAAAAGATTCTGTAAGCTTCTTTAATCAATGAAAAAAAAATATTTGACAGGTTTACATATATTACAACATTTGTAGAAGTATTTACATAATATTTCAGTTTCTTTCCACGTGGGATTTCGTTTTTGTAATGCTTTTTTCTTTCAGTTTTTGTGGAAACTATATTACCATAGTAAATGTTGTGGGGTAGTTGATACCTTTTAGGTTTTTTTTTTTAGCAGACTGTCAGGATCATATTGTAAATACAGAGCTTTGATGTTTTAAAGGAATATAGTTCAACCAAAAATGAGAATTTGCTGAAAACTTACTCACCCTTAGGTCATCCAAGATGTAGATGAGTTTATTTTTTAATGGGAACAGATCTGGAGACATTTAGCATTTCATCACTTGCTCACCAGTGGATGCTCTGCAGTGAATGGGTGCCGTCAGAATGAGAGTCCAAACAGCTGATAAAAACATCACAATAATCCACAAGTAATTCACATGACCCTAATCTTGTGAAGTGAAAAGCTGTATATTTGTAAAAAAAACTAAACAAAACAATACATCTTTAAAGTAACTTTAGCTGTTGCTTTTGGCTAAAAATATTTGTAAATATATTTGGCTAAAAAGTCCTTACCCTATTGTCCTCTCACATCAAAATCCACCAACATAATTGTTTAGAAATGTTTTTGCTTATAAGTTATCTTGATCTGTGCATATTTCTCTCCTGATTCAGACGAAATGACTTGTTCACTGGTAAAAAAATATATATATACAGACATGCAGCTTTTGGTTTCACAAAATGGACTGGAGTGGTATGGATTATTGTGATGGTTTTAGCAGCTGTTTGGACTCTCATTCTGACGGCACCCATTCACTGCAGAGGATTCATTGGTGAGCAAGTGATGCAATTATACATTTCTCCAAATCTGTTCTGATAAAGAAACAAACTCATCAATATCTTAGATGGCTTAAAGGTGAGTACGTGTTCAGCAAATTTACATTTTTGGTTGAAAATGTATTGAATATTCAATAGGCCCTTACAGACAACTATTCTGGAGAGTGTTTTGTATGTCGTAACGGTCTTCAACTTAAAAATCCTAAAATGATTGAGATATTTAAAACAGTGCTTGGACAGCAGTCCAGACAGATGGGAACAGAGCATGACATTCTGAGAGCGGTGGTCTGTGTAAGCCAAATCAGACTCGTGCCTTTGCCCAGGGACAGAAAGTGATTAATAGAGAGAGAAAAGCAGTAGTTTAGACTTCAGTAGATGAAGTCGGCACAGTTCTACCGATGAGCAGGCGAGAGATCAGACGCATTCCTGTCAGCGCTCCTGCTCGGTCAGTGTCATAAAGAGATGTCTATATGTGTATATATGGGGTGATATTTGTGAAAATATATAACATTCCACTGCTCTTTGATATTTTAACCACATGGCCCTCTTTGCATCATATTCCTGGCATAATGAGGCTTTTTTCGGCCTGGACGAAGGGGAAACAGGCGCCAACTGTTACTTCATTGACAAGTCTGTGTGTTTGTGTTCCTCGGTCAATCAGCATTTATCTAGGCAAATATTTTGTTTTCCTCTTAAAGTGTGTTTGCTGTTCTGAAAGGAAAGGCAGCAGCTTGTTTTGGGTAATGAAAGGGTGAGTTGTGTGCCAGCAGTCGTGCCCCCTGTTGCTCTGTCATTGGTTAGTTCCTTTCGCATCAAAAGAACCAATCAGAGAAAGATCAAAGCTCAGCAAAACTGCCTGTTTTCCTCGCATTGTGGACAGATTGTCACGTATAAAGCGACCGAGTAAAATTGATTTACAACACTTTAATTGTGAACTGGGGCAGACAGACAGGGAAATGGTTTTCTGCACCATGTTTCATTATACACTGTCGCTGCTGAGTCATATTTTACCGTTATGAATGCCAGTCTGAATTGAATTTGGTGTGATACAAAAGCAACATTTTCTTTGCAAAATCGCATCTTGCTGTTGTATTGTGCTCACGGACTTACATAAAAAAATAGCATGAGATGTGTAGTCCGATTCGAGCACGAACAGCTCTTTTGAGCTGACTTTTGAAAGTTGTTCAATACGATTTAAAATAATCACCTTAAGTTACCGGTTTGAATCTGTGTGATGAATCTTGCACTGAATTAATCACTGAATCAGTAACAGGTTGATAGGTAACAGGTGTCGAAATAAATTAGTATTTTACTCAACAACCAATATTTTATGATTATTTAAAGTGTCAAAGAGCCTATATGCAGATATCACAAATTTAAGTGGTTTCAACTTTTTAAAGTTGTTTTTATTTACCAAATAATTATTAGACCACAGCAATAAAAACTTTTAGAATAATAAAAAAAAATGATTACAAATATTTATTAGTAAAGTATTATTATTATCTTTATTTAGAGCTATATCTGTTAAAATGACACAGTATTTACTAAATAATAATTCTTCTTCTTCTTCTTCTTCTCATTGATATTATTATTATTTATGCCATCACATTGCTGCAAAGTTTTAAATTAATAATAATACTTTTATTTTTATTCATGCCATCATAATTTGTTACAAAGTTGTAAATAATAATAATAATTATTATTATTTTATGCCATTATGTTGCTACAAAGTTTTAAATTATAATATTTAAAATTAAAATAATTTATAATTTAAATGAAAACAAAATTAAAATATTTTATGCCATCATATTGCTACAAAGTTTTAAGTTATAATAATTTAAGATTAAATAATATATCATTTAAAATTTAAATAAAATCTAAATAATTACAATAATTTATCATTTAAAACTATTATTATTTTTATGCCAGCATACTGCTACAAAGTTTAAAATTATTATTATTATTATTATTATTTATGTGATCATATTGCTACAAAGTTTAACATGGTAATTCTATAAATTCTATTATTCTTATTTAATATTGATATTGAGCTATATCTAACTGTTAAATGTGAAAAAGACTATGCATTTCTCACTTTTATTAGTAGACCTAATCAATTTGTAATTAAGAAAATAGTCTTTTTCCCCCCCAAATCATTTATTGTGTCTCTAAAATGATATATTTTGAAACTCAGAAGTTTAGTGTCCCAGCTGTGACCTCAGTGTCGCTGTTATTGTCTTTCATTCTTTTCAGAACCTTAAAAAGCCCAACCGATATCTATTGTAATACAACCAACGCAAGAACAGATAACATCATGGAAAAACCCTGTGAATTGCACTGTGCCAGCATCGTATCACATTCTTTCCACCATTAGCCTATTTTCCTCATCATCAACTCGGCAGAATTTAATATACAGTGATTAAGAAGATATCCAGTCATAGTTTATGATAAAACCCCACCGTATATGTTTTCCTTTTAATAAGCTAAATGACTACCAAAGCTTGTCATTCTAGCTATGCAAGCACTTGAATACTAAGCAAACGGTGCACCTGTCTGTCTCTGTGTGTGTGTGTGTGTGTGTGTGTGTGTGTGTGTGTGTGTGTGAGTGTGTGGGGTTTCCCCAGCCGCTCGGCGGGGTTCGGTTCGTGCCCATCAACACGCTCAGGCCAGACAGCATGGCAATTCCTCTGCCAAACATTTTCTGCATGACCGACTCTAAGCGGATACCAGCGCAGCAGGAATGTGTGGGCATATTGCCTTATTTCGTTGCACAATAAGTGGGCCAGCCTGGGATTACGAGGAAGAAAACACGACAACTGAATTGCATGTGCTTCCAAGAGACTGTAAATTCTGCAAGATCGAGCTACTTCGTCGAGCAGATGCGTACTCACGGGGGGCTTTGTTTTCCAGATCACAAGCCAGAATTTTGTACTTGACAGAAAGTGGAGATAAACAACAAGTCTTTGGTTTAGATAGCAACTCCAGCTCGCTGATATACAGTACAAGTCTTGATTTACGTCGCATATTCCACTTTATCGGTGGATCTTCTTTGATTTAGGCCCTCGTAAAACTGCGTCAGATATAATGCGACTCCATAAAGATAGAATAGCCTGGCTTGCCTTGGTTTTAGGAGTCCTGCGGGGTCACAGGAAAGACCTAGAGCTGTTGGGCAAAGCTGATGAATGAAAAGACTCTTGGGGGAATTTTGGCAAAGCCTGAGAAAGAGTGGAAAACGCGATGCGGCAGCCAAGCAAACATCTGTTTTCTCTGACAAACGGCTGTCCGCAGTCTGGAACAGTGTTCCTCTATCGCACTTGGCTTCTCTTGCGCTTATTTTGAATGAAATTATGGCTTCCTTCTGAGTCTA